GCTAATGAGCCGAATGAGCTTTCTCATTACAAAATCCCCACAGGGTAACAATCCCAGTTTGTCAGCACTGAGTCAAAATAGTCTTGATTGCCCAGTGAAGAACATGTAATGTTAGTTCACAAACACTTAAAACCTGCCACTGCCAGCTGTGCGCTTCATGCCCTTTAGTGTTAAGTTTAAGTATTTAGTGCAACAGCTTGCATCTCTCAACCACTCTTACCTGAAAAGGGCTGGATTAGTTTTTTGGCTTAAATGTATTTAATATCTGGCCCCTTTGTCAGAAAATGTTGCGAGGAGAAACACAGCCAAAAGAAATTTGTGTTACAATACTTATCACGCGTGTGCCACTTTTGCAATTACACCCATGGCTGATTTCTTTTAGCCCTTTTAAATTCATTTCCAATGACCTTTATGTCGCCAAATTGGGCCAAGTATGGAAAGAAGTTTCCAGCAGTGTTAATTGTTTTAGGCAGTGATGTGCGGAGAACTCAGTTTATGTGTGAATAGAAGTAATTGTGATTCATTTGCACTCTCTATTTCTCTCTCCATTTTCGCTCTGGCATCTCACTCTTGCTTTTTCTGTTGCTCTGTTTCTCAGACACACACTTGCACAGCACACCTTTCTTATTAGCATGTGACAAGTTAAGCGAGGTAGAAACAAAACAAAAAGACCTATTCAGCAGGCGGGGTTCTTTTGCTGTACTGTTGAGCAATGCTTACCCCTCTTTGCCCTCCTCTGTTCACCTGCTTGTGTCTCTGCTCATATGCTGCCTCTATCGCCCTCCCCTGCCGGGACAATAGACTGTAATGAATGGTTACTAGCACATCGCAGTGTTAATTAATAAAGAACTTAATCGTATAATGGACTGACTGCATGGCTGTGTCAGAGAGAGCAAAAAGAAAATAACATGGATTTTTGAGATGAGTAGGCCAAGTGGGTACTCACCATGATAATAAGGATAATACAACCAATTAATGTAAAATTGGTATGACCTTAATGATTGGTACCTGGACCACTGTAACATATTTGCAGCCAGCCATGGTATCTTTAGGATTTTATTGTGACTTTTTTAAAATCTTAAAATATGATGCAACAACTACACACACAATAAGATAATGTGGTTTGACCATGACAAGGCAATTTTAAGACTATATAGAATCTACACTTTCTTGCAAAAAAAAGGATGGATCATGGACAATGGGCCGTTATGTTGCGATGTAAGAGCATTTACAGCGTAAACACAGTTTTAACAGTGCACACTTGTTGACAAGTGTCGTACATACTTGCCTACAGTATGCCTAAGTATGTGAACAGGCACACACAAACAACGCAATACCTGGAGGATTAAATTTAGGGGGGGACAAATCAAATCAGGCCAAATCATCCAAGACAAACACTGAAGTATCTTCTCAAATGTTTTTCACAACGTAAACATAGTGATGTTCAAGGAGGTTGCTATATTTGTTACTATGGAGCAGCATGGACACATTATAAAAATGCAGGTAATTGCAGACAAGCTCTTTTCATTTCTATTTAATACTTTTTGTCTACTACTGACCTTGCTTCACATTCTTATGTACGGCCCCAACTTCTATGTACTTAACTGCATCATGCATACTTGTAGTGTTACGTTCAGAAACCTTTCCCAAACAATGGCTCACCCAAGGAATGCAGGACGCATGGGGTAGCCACCATGTGCATACAAACATGTACTTAAAAGCAGATATTTCAGCACTGTAAAGAAGTCAACTTCTTTGCTTCCAGACTGGGGCTCAGAATACTTTAGATCACATTTGCCTGAGTTTCATTGTGAGAATGGACAAGTGTGAATGTTTTTCTGACAGGAGACAAGGTCATCTGTTGTGCATGGCCATGGTTTTCACATTCAGGCATAGTTTGTTCCTGGCTTTAGCAGCTAGCAGGGATGGAGGAATTGAAGACATTCAACCATCATTAATGATTGCATCTTTCTCTGGAAAGAATTGTTGCCTTACGGTTACTCCATGTTAACAGAGGTTTCCCTGCCAGTGACCATACCCGAGAAAAAAAATTAATTTGAGAAAACATGTTGACCCAGAGATGCTGCAGTTCACAATTTTGTATTTTTAGTTGATAACACAAACATATTTTGCATAAAATGTTTACCTGGTGCTTTTTGAAGTTAATGAATGTATGCAACCTTCTCAGTGTTTTACATCAGTAACAGTTGTCAGTACTTTTGTGTGCTCTGTCCCAGTTGCATACACCGGACTGAGCTTGGAATGTGCTGACTCTTTTTTTCCCTGCGGTTCAGAGGTATAGCCTGAGCTCAATCGGTGCAACGAGGTCTGTCAAGCAGCCTGACAAACTCATTCATGGCTAGCGGCGCTTGTTCCTGTCTGATGAAAATGTTACACTGCTCTCTCATTCTCTGCCTCGGCCCGCTATTCCCGGAACACAGCTCTGAGTGGGTGGTTATTCTGTCATCATTTTGGAAGAGAGCACGCACACAGGGTCGACAGACAGGGTCCATCCAATGCAATTTTTTCACCCAATGTATTACTATCTTCAACTGCTGGGCTAAAAGCCTCTCCAGGGACATAACTCATAGTTGCTATTTATTTATTTTATTTTGATAAAACATCTTCATTAAAGATAAAGACTGACTGTGCCAATGATGCACAAGGACATTCATCCATGAGTGTTCCTTTTCAGAGTAGAAATTGTATGTTTGTGCTGCGTTGCTATGGGCCTACATTGGAAACCAAATGATCAGACCCGTGAACTGGGTTAAGATTGCTTCAGCTATCAGAGCTTTTAGAAATTCTGACTTGATGTCTTTACAAGACAAACAAGAATGGAAAGTTAAACATTATTGATGCATTATATTTACCCCTGCATTGGATAACAAACAGTTTTTCCAGTAGTTAATTTGTTTTGTTTTTATTTTTTTTCTGTCCCCTATCTGCTTCACTCAGCTGTCTGAGGGATGAAGACAAAACCGACTCTGAATAGGAATTCAATAATAGAATTGGAGGTGTTGAAATGCAGAGGATGCAGAGAAAATGGATTCCAGTGGTTGGAATTTACTAAGGGTCCAGCTACAGACAAAGCCCAGTTGGCAAGTTGTACAGACAGGTGTACTGCCATTTTGAACGTAGGAGAAGAAAGCAGAGAGAAAGAAAAGGGGGCAGATAGGAGGGCCGTCTGGAGAATAGGGGCTCAGTCAGAGGGTGTTGAAAAGAGCCTCCACCTGAACGCACCACTGCATCCTAATAACTCCTCAGCCGCCAAAAAAAAAAAACAAAGCAAAAAGAAAACACCTTATGCTCTGTCTTTCCCTTCTTTCCTCTGCTTCACTCTTTATCCGAGCAGCTGTGAAGGGCACACACCTGGCTGCCATCCATCTGGCTGTGCATGTGCACGCGTGCGTACTGATGTGAATCTATTTAAAGAGGTCTTGCGGTGGGTTTCTGGGGTTGATTGCTCTCACTGCCAGTATTGTTCATGTGGATTTGGCTGCCATGGCAATAACTACGCACATACAGTACAATCTGGCCAATCACAGTATTGCAGAACTGCTCTCAAGCCTCCTATGGAGCGGAATCGTGATCGGACAGCCTTCAGCTCTTATCTGCTGAATATAAACATGTGTGTGGGGAAAGCAAATGGGAAACACTCTCATTTCCTCAACATCTGCTGCTAAGATGCCCTTGAGCAAGGCACATAACTCCCAAGAACTCGAATGGAACAGCTCAGTGGCCAATAGCAGAGGCCTGTATGGAAGACGTGTTACTTCCAAGTTTACAGAGAAAGAGGCAGTGTCTCATTTTCTTCTATCAAAATGTTAGGGAAGAACAACTGTGGACTGAGATCAAAGCTTTTGGTTTCAGCACATTTACTCAGCTACAGCATCTTGGCTATAGCTCAAAAATCTTTGGTAGGCACTGAACCACTGAAAGGAAATTATTTTAAAACATTCTTAAATCTTCACCAGGTTTCCTGTAGTCAGCGCGAAAGCTCTTTGATGCCTCTGGTGTTTCCTCTACACCATTAGCTTTCTTTCACACCTCTTTTCCCCGTCTGTTTGGCTGCAAGCAAGAAGTAAAATACACAAATTCTATTCCTTTGGTTATTTTTTACAGATGCTCTTTGTTAGACACCAGTGGAAATTGTCAGAAAAGAGACTGGAGTGGTTGTTTGATGGACTATTTTCCAGCTGAATTGATCATGCTGGGTGTTACACACTCAACGGTACATTCTCACACCTCTCTGGCAGCTGAATTGAACCATTTCTAGTGTACCATGTGTGAGGATCTGCAGTACTGGACCTGCAACAAAACGCTATAATGGTAATTTTCAACAAAAGGCCCATGGATCGCAAAGGGATGGAGGGTCGGATTCTTAACGTGTCACAGTTATCCTTCAAAGGGGTGTTGTTCAAAGGAAACCACTGTTGTTTGTGCACCAAATTGCCACCTGGCATTTTCAAAGTTCTCCTCTGTCCCCACTGTTCCTACACCACGCTCATGACGCTGGAAAGGAATTAGCAGCGCTTGGCTAGAGAGTATGGCCAATTGACGATGACAGCCCTGAGATATGTGACATGCTTGCCATCCATTCGCTTTCTTCTCCTGCTCCCCTCATCTTTCCCCTCTTTATCTTGTCTCCCGCCTGCTTTCCATTTTCTTGTCATTCACCCTGTTCTTTCAATTTTTGTTCCTCCAGTGTCTTTTCCAGTATTTTTTATTTTATCTTTTTTCTTTCTCTTTGTTTTTCTGTCTCACCAAAGTTAAAGTTGCCATTTGAATGCAACAATGACATCGTAGTTGAGCACAACAACAGTTTACTATCTTTGGTAGATAAGTTGAATCATCAACCCAAGATTTTTGTGACCTTTCTGTTTCAATTTCAAACAAAGGTTCTTAGTACATCAGCATTGCCAGAGCCATGACAGATATTCACTTTCTACACCAACTCCAAAATAAAATAGATCTCTCTCTTTCCTTAATGCCCACAGCAGCAAGAGGAAGATGACATGGTGTTAACCCCTGATGGTACGCAAGAGTTCATGACCTTTGAGATCCCTCTGAGTGACTCGGGCTCAGCAGGCCTTGGGGTCAGCGTCAAGGGTAACCGGTCCAAGGAGAACCATGCCGACTTGGGGATCTTTGTGAAATCTATTATTAATGGAGGTGCTGCTAGCAAGGCAAGTAACTGCTCCCACCCTCTTACACTCAGACCATTACTTTGATTGATTTTACTAAATACATTCATTGTTTTTTTTGTAACCAAAGATGAGGCGGACCACAATGCTGCATGGGTACAAAGTCCTTGTCATGGCAATTTTGAAGTGGTCACTTCATGTTAATGCTGTCTAAGTGGTTTTCCAACTGTTAAATTTAATTGTTCATAAATACTAGTGGTTTGAGACAGTTTGTCTTCCAAAGTTCATTTCAAACATAACTAGGGCAACAACATTGTGATCCCTCAGGAGCAGCTGCAGAATGCATGTTGTTTCTGTTCAAACCTAATGATGGCAGTCCTCAAAGAATTTGATGCAAGTATTTTATGAGTCAGATCTAACTTTTCCCCTGCTGGTGTTTATCTGCAGGATGGGCGTCTACGAGTCAATGACCAACTCATTGCAGTCAACGGGGAGTCGTTGCATGGGATGACCAACCAGGACGCAATGGAAACGCTGCGCAAATCCATGTCTGTAGAGGGCAACAAGCGAGGGATGATTCAGCTCATCGTGGCCCGACGTGTGTCCAAAAACAATGAGGTAGCCTAACACTCAGGGAGGAGTCACACTGATACGCTAGGGACTAATTGGCATCAAAAGGAGTTAATTGGTGTGCCTTTGTTTATTTCTTTTTATCACACCCAGTATAGACACACAATGTTTACAGAAACTCAACAAACACACATGCATGCTGTAATTCAAATCCTGTCTGTGGACACATGGAAGACAATGAATGAAGGAGAGGAATGGCTACATTTCAACTGCACTGAATGATAAATGAGAGTGGCTTTCCTCTACCTTGCCACTAGCTCTAATCTATCCCCCATAGGTTGTTGTTGCTTTGAGATAGCTAGAGGAGGACCTTTATGAAGCAACCACACCACCATGCAAATCTTCAAACAGTCCCATTTCCTGTGTGAGATAGGTGATGTAGTCTCACATTTCCACCCATTCTCTGTGTGATTTTCTTTGCCCACGGTGGGCCTGATATGATATCTCAGAAGCACTTCACTGAGTTATGATTGACAGGTCTGCGGAATAACACTGTAGGATAGGCAGATAAAGGAATATCTATTGCGGCTAGGTGCATATTTGTCATTAGGCAGTAAAGAATGTTGAAAGCAAGGGGATTTCAACTTTACGAAATGCGCATTGTGATACTGAACTAATCCCAGCCTACCTTTCTTTTAGATAAACTGTATTATTTCACATACTGGTGCAAAAACAAAGATGAATGCAAACACGATTTAGCTGAATGTGAAATGCTAAGCACAGTGTGTTTCAAAATTGTGGATTCATGTGTGATACTTCAACATACTCACGCACGTTCACTCACCCTGCAGCCAGAGGTTGTAGATCAGGTTTGATTAGTGTTGCCGTGACTCTAATTGGAGCCTGTGTCCCGTGGCTGTGTGTCAGTTTGGAGTACCATGCTGAGCCCCAGTCCCCCTCTCTGCCCTTCACCCTCCGTGCTAGCCCTCATCCCCCAAGCACTTTGTCCCTCTCTCTCTTCTCAACACACATCATCCCCTGACACCCTGTTCATTTTCTTCTTCTTTTAATCAGTTTTCACATGTGGTGCTACATAGTTTAACAGGTAGAACATGGGATAAATACAGCCAAGGACCTCTATCACAGGTGCCACTCATAAATTGCCATAGATTGTGTCATTACTGTTTACCATAACAAGTAAGAACTGTGGTCAAGACTGCATCTGCCCGATTATTTTATGGCAGAAAAACAGAAAATAATTTTATTTTGAAAATAATTTAAAATAAAAGTTGAAAGTCAATAGATAATACTAAGTAATAAGTCTTATTTGTTGTGAACAAATAAGACTTGTTAAGAACAAAGACTTAACAAGTCCTTGCTGTTGTAAAGCTGCTGTTTGCTCTCATTCCACTTCTTGTTTCTCAAAACAAAGTCATACACTGCAGTAAGAGAGTGGGTAAAAACAATTTGTCCAAAACAGGAAGCAGTAAGTTTAATGGGAAATGTGGTTATTTTGAGAAACGCGACATCACCCTCAGGGTTATATTACCTTGTATTGCCATATATCTACTGTGTAGCTCGCGATCACTGTGGTGACAGAAGCAACTTTTCAGTGCAGTGAAATCTTTCCCATATAGCATAATAAACCACTATGCAGCATTAATGGATCTATTACTCCAGCTGGACTTCCTGGATTATATTTCATCGTCTCACCAAACCTGAGGTACCTGAGGTACCACACCCCCACCAACACAGCCCCATGCATTTTTTAAATCTACAACCCCTCCGGGGATAGCCCAGCCCCAAGGTTCAGTGAGTTCTATCACTTCGGTCCAGTCACTCTCCTTCCTCTTTAATCCCTCACCAGCAGGCAGACAGGTAGACAGACTGACACTGAGCAGACAGTTAAGGTCACAGACAAACACATTTTCAGAAGCAGCAAAAATATTTCTTTTATTATTGCACTTTCACTCTGTAGGTGGAAGGATGAAGGATGGTGTTTTTACATTAAAGTTTATTACATTTTTGATCCATTTAGAGAGACAATTTAGATAGAAATTTTGACAAGTTTATATATAATTTGACATTTATTTCAACATCAGTTGCTATGAAACAGCATATTGATGATGATACAGAGGAAGATGGAACAAGAGTGTAGCCCAAAAGGAGAAGGATGTGTAACAGTGCATTTTAGATTCCATCCATTAAACTCCTATTACAGGCAATCATGCACAGCTGAAGATGCAGTGTTTTCAGGGAGCTTAGTGGTTTGAAAAGGTTCCATGAAGTCACTAGAGGGATTTTTAATTTACTCATAGTAGAGGAAGGATACAATTGTACAATGAAGAATTTAAGGTCAGTTGCAAACCTCAAATAAGAAAAGCAGAAGTTAAATGTCAACACAGGCTCCCAGCAGTTACAACCACCTCCCCCTTTTCCACTGCTCTGCTGTGTTGGCCGGGCAGATATGTGTGGAACCAGCACCAGTCCGCCACTGTCACCCACCCAAATGGGAGTGAGCACTGGAGGCCACCATTGAAATGAATCAGATCCATCACTGTCTGCAGGGGAGAGGAACCAAGAAGCACAGCCTAATGCATCAGAAGGGGGACTTCGATGGGTGCAGTGTATCCAGGCCACCCTACTCCAAGAAAATTGCATTGATTTCATCATTGCTTGCTCCTGTGGGCTAAAGTGCGATCAACTTTGCAGTGTAATGTTGTAATGTAATTTTATTTCTTGGTAGTTTAAGCTGGCTTGGTTTGTTGGGGGTTCGCAAAATCAAAACCACATGCCAGTCATTGAACCAACATCCAGTTTCTTCAATGTAAAGGAAAATATCCTCGCAGAAAAGGACCCTGTAACACATGGATACCTGTGACACTCTTGTTGTGTGCACTGACTGTGTGACCACTCAGAGTGCATGCACACACAAATAATCCCTACAAACACACACAAACTTCCACATATTACTCAAGGTCTTCCAGAAGCCCATATGCTTTCAGCAGGACTTGAGGGCTAGATCCATCCAGACAGACCCTCTCAGTGGTGAAGACAAGTGTTTCAATAGGCTGGCTCATACTGCTGACGGCTCATCATTAGGACTATGTTTGATGTGGAGTACCTGATCTATTTATGCTGCCATTAAAGCAGTGGAAATGAGTGGCCTTTGCCTTGGGTTGAAATGAGAATTTTTGCCGACCTTGAATAAAAGAAAAACACTTGGAAGGATGGTTTATAAGAATAAGGCTGTATTCAAGTCTAACAAAGCAGTGTGCTGCACTGCATGGGGCCTATTTTTAATGTAGCACAGACCCAGACTGTCTCCATGAGCCTGATTCAAAATCTGATAAGTGTGGACCCTTAATGCTCCTATCCACACGTAAAAATGTAGGTTGAAATTTAAGACTCAACAAAAGACTCTTATTCAAACAGGTCACAGGGTTGCTGTGAGCCAAAGAAGCAACCAGTTAAAAGCAACAAGATCTAAATCAAAAGCTGGGTAGCTAAAATAGGTAGCTAAATGTATTTTGTTGGTTTTGACTGCTTTTGGGAACCAGTCCTAATACCAATACTTATCATGCATTTGTTGTGCAATCTGAAATAAGACATAAGTAGGCAGGAAAAGTGTAATTAATAGCATTTCGCTTAGCATACACACAAACTAGGATACCCAGATACACACACTCTATAACCACACTCTCTGTAACTGAACAATTAATTTTTATTCTGTTCTGGTTCCACAGATAGCCCTTGTTTGAAAAACTACTATTCTGCCCCAGATAGTCAAGCGATATGATTGGTCACTGCCAATTTGTTTGAAGCATTGTAATTGCATCGCTGCTTCAGAGACTGAATAATTTCTTCTATATCTGAGTTCTATTAATATATCGTCACATGTGTTAAAGCAATTAAATATATGAAAAGTCATTCTAATTCCTTTTTTTTGGTCACTCTTCTTGAATGTTCTCCATTCCATGTTTTTAGTGCAGAGACTGTTCCTCGAGTCACAAACTCAACACCCTGTAACTGAATCAAATGCAGGTCGGTGACAGTAGTTTGGTTATTAGTTTTTTAAATGTACTTACATAAATTCAGTAATTTGAACATTAACTCTGATTCTTTGTGACAATTTGAAGACATAATACTGTTTATGCTTTTTGGAAGCATTGCTGTTTTTGTCCACCAAAGTAATCTTAATGATACAGTAATGTTACATTAGATGGAAGAACATGCAATAGTAATTTTCCACTGGCTCAAAAGTAATTTCCTTGGAAATGGGGAATGCTGAGCAAAGTGTAGCACACATTCAAATATTTGTAGTAGTCTGAGTTGAGAGGTGTGCTGGATAGAGTGCAGAACAAAAGGGCAATCAGTTCCACTCGTGGTTGTCGGAGTGACATCTACAGGTTAACAGTTTATTTGAATGTGATCGTAGCTTTTTAAGTCCCTCATCTCTGCTGTGGCTAAAACTGATGAATTTACCATTATATGGGCAGAACAAAGAAATATGCTTATCATGAGACATAATCGGAACTCATTTCAATACATGGAGAATAATTAGAAAATAGCAGCTAATGAGTGGATATGTACGGTGATAATATGCATCTAAATTAAGCTGGACTTTATGTTGGGGCTCGTAAAGCTGTTCATGAACCTTTACTCAGTGGTGGATGTTTGTTTCTGTCTCTTGCAACAGCAGTGGCAGTTCATGACTAAGATCTTTATCACACCAGCATCTTAAAGCAGACAGGCTGATGATAAGCTGGGTTTCATTTCTCTGATTTGAAATTCATAACTACGTACGCATACGCTTCTCTGTGCATTTGTGATGTTATTTATGACGGAGCTCTCCTGCAGACATCGACTATTTTAAACAGACTGGCTGTCTTGTGGGTTTTTTTTTTTGTTGTCCTTCTTGACAGCATCACCGCAACTTGCCAATGAATCACTGCATTAATCAGAGCAACAAAAAACATACTCCACCCTACACATCTACAAAAAAGTGTACTGTTTTTTTATTGTGGTGCTCCGCCATGGAGTTCTCA